CGGTTAGTGATGTCGCAAATGCGTAGATCACGCGGTTGACGATTCCGCGGATACTGAGGTGCTTGAGGTAGAGTGACTACGTAGATATAAACCTGCCCCGGTTAATAATGTCGCAAATGCTTAGATCCCGGGGCTGAAGATTCCGCGGATATTGAGGTGCGTGTGGTAGAATGACTACGTAGATATAAACCCTCCACGGTTAGTGATGTCGCAAATGCTTAAATTCCGAGGTTGGAAATTCCGTGGATATTGAGGTGCTTGTGGTAGAGTGACTACGTAGATATAAACCCTCCACGGATAATGATGTCGCAAATGCTTAGATCCCGGTGTTGAATATTCCGCGGATATTGAGATGCGTGTGGTAGAGTGACTACGTAGATGTAAACCCTCCACGGTTAGTGATGTCGCAAATGCGTAGATCACGCGGTTGAGGATTCCGCGGATACTGAGGTGCTCGTGGTAGAGTGACTACGTAGATATAAACCCTCCACGGTTAATAATGTCGCAAATGCTTAGATCCCGGGGCTGAAGATTCCGCGGATATTGAGGTGCGTGTGGTAGAGTGACTACGTAGATATAAACACTCCACGGTTAGTGATGTCGCAAATGCTTAAATTCCGAGTTTGAAAATTCCGTGGATATTCAGGTGCTTGTCGTGGAGTGACTACGTAGATATAAACCCTCCACGGTTAATGATGTCGCAAATGCTTAGATCCCGCGGTTGAGGATTCGCGGACACTGAGGTGCTTGTGGTAGAGTGACTACGTAGATATAAACCCTCCACGGTTGGTGATGTCGCAAAAGCTTAGATCCCGCGGTTGAAGATTCCGCGGATATTCAGGTGCTTGTCGTGGAGTGACTACGTAGATATAAACCCTCCACGGTTAGTGATGTCGCAAATGCGAAGATCCCGTGGTTCAGGATTCCGCGGATATTGAGGTGCTTGTGGTAGAGAGACTTCGTAGATATAAACCCTCCACGCTTAGTGATGTCGCAAATGCTTAGATCCCGCTGTTGAAGATTCCGCGGATATTGAGGTGCGTGTGGTAGAGTGACTACGTAGATATAAACACTCCACGGTTAGTGATGTCGCAAATGCTGAGATCACGCGGTTGAAGATTCCGCGGATATTGAGGTGCTTGTGGTAGAGTGACTACGTAGATATAAACCCTCCACGGTTAATGATGTCGCAAATGCTTAGATACCGCGGTTGAAGATTCCGCGGATATTGAGGTGCTTGTGGTAGTGTGACTACGTAGATATAAACCCTCCACGGTTAGTGATGTCGCAAATGCTTAGATCCCGCGGTTGAAGATTCCGCGTATATTGTGGTGCTTGTGGTAGAGAGACTACGTAGATATAAACCCTCCACGCTTAGTGATGTCGCAAATGCCTAGGTCCCGCTGTTGAAGATTCCGTGGATATTGAGGTGCTTGTGGTAGAGTGACTACGTAGATATAAACTCTCCACGGTTAGTGATGTCGCAAATGCTTAGATCCCGCGGTTGAAGATTCCGCGGATATTCAGGTGCTTGTCGTGGAGTGACTACGTAGATATAAACCCTCCACGGTTAGTGATGTCGCAAATGCTGAGATCCCGGGGCTGAAGATTCCGCGGATATTGAGGTGCGTGTGGTAGTGTGACTACTTAGATATAAACCCTCCACGGTTAGTGATGTCGCAAATGCTTAAATTCCGAGGTTGAAAATTCCGTGGATATTGAGGTGCTTGTGGTAGAGTGACTACGTAGATATAAACCCTCCACGCTTAGTGATGTCGCAAATGCCTAGGTCCCGCTGTTGAAGATTCCGTGGATATTGAGGTGCTTGTGGTAGAGTGACTACGTAGATATAAACCCTCCACGGTTAATGATGTCGCAAATGCTTAGATCCCGCGGTTGAAGTTTCCGCGGATATTGAGGTGCTTTTGGTAGAGTGACTACTTAGATATAAACCCTCCACGGCTAATGATGTCTCAAATGCTTAGATCGCGTTGTTGAATTTTCTACGGATATTGAGGCGCGTGTGGTAGAGTGACTACGTAGATATAAACCCTCCACGGTTAATGATGTCGCAAATGCGTAGTTCCCGGGGTTGAATATTCCGTGGATATTGAGGTGCTTGTGGTAGAGTGACTACGTCGATATAAACCCCCCATGGTTAGTGATGTCGCAAATGCTTAGATCCCGCGGTTGAAGATTCCGAGTATATTGTGGTGCTTGTGGTAGAGAGACTACGTAGATATAAACCCTCCAGGCTTAGTGATGTCGCAAAAGCTTAGATCCCGCTGTTGAAGATTCCGTGGCTATTGAGTTGCTTGTGGTAGAGTGACTACGTAGATATAAACCCACCACGGTTAGTGATGTCGCAAACGCTTAGATCCCGCGGTTGAAGATTCGGCGTATATTGAGGTGCTTGTGGTAGAGTGACTACTTTGATATCAACCCTCCACGGTTAATGATGTCGCAAATGCTTAGATCCCGCGGTTGAAGTTTCCGCGGATATTGAGGTGCGTGTGGTAGAGTGACTACGTAGATATAAACCCTCCACCGTTTGTGATGTCGTAAATGCTTAGATCCCGCGGTTGAAGATTCCGCGGATAGTGAGGTGCTTGTGGTAGAGTGACTACGTAGATATAAACCCTCCACGGTTAGTGATGTCGCAGATTCTTTGATCTCGGGGCTGAAGATTCCGTGGATATTGAGGTGCTTGTGGTAGAGTGACTACGTAGATATAAACCCTCCACGGTTAGTGAGGTCGCAAATGCTTAGATCCTGCGGTTGAAGTTTCCGCGGATATTGAGGTGCGTTTGGTAGAGTGACTACGTAGATATAAACCCTCCACGGTTAGTGATGTCGCAAATGCTAAGATCCCGCGGTTGAAGATTCCGCGGATATTGCGGTTCTTGTGGTAGAGTGACTACGTAGATATAAACCCTCCACGGTTAGTGATGTCGCAAATGCTTTGATCCCGCGATTGAGGATTCCGCGAATATTTGGGTGCTTATGGTAGAGTGACTACGTAGATATAAACCCCCCACGGTTAGTGATGTCGCAAATGCTTAGATTTCGCGGTTGAAGATTCCGCGGATATTGAGGTGCTTGTGGTAGAATGACTACGTAACTAATTAACCTAGAGTTCTCAATACGCTAAGTAGAGCGATAAACTAGAATAAACGCAAAGGAACCAGAGAAAACTTCTTAGGTTTCACCTAAACGGACCTTCAGCGTAAATCTGGTTAAAAAGGAAAATACGGAACAGTATTTATTTATTGATAAAACCAAATACAACTATAACCACGTGACAAAATAAATAAATAAATAATTCAATGTATTTATTTAGTTAGTTTTATATATATATATATATATATATATATATATATATATATATATATATATATATATATATATATATATATATATATATATATATATATATATATATATATATATATATGTAAGCAAATATATGGATATTAATCCGACAGTATGAAAGAAAATACTGAAAAAAAAAACAAAATTTGAATATGCATTATTAATGTTAAAATAAAGTCGACGTCGGACGTTTCGGTCTATTTAAGACCATCTTCATGGACATTTTCATTTAAACATAATTAACATTATAACTTATAACAATTTAACACAAAAGACGATGGACATAAGAGCCCAACTAATTCAGACAGATAACTGAAATTTTATACAGATCAGCGTTCTGTTTAAATATGATCACGTAGTCGTCACGTGGGCGATGTTGTTAAGACGTATTCGAAGATGATTTCCAAAAATTAAAAAATATCAAAAAGTCGAATGAAAAACTTTCATAAACAATTAAAGAAAGCTCTTCCGTTGATGTCGAAATACGCAGTGATCAATGGTTCTTATATCTTCAACAAGCTTGAAAGTCTTTCCCGTTACAATGCAAATCCAAAAGTGATTTTAAAAACGATGGAACAGTTCTAAAAAACAGTTCGAGAAAAATTCCATTCTTTACTTGATCAATAGATTCCCTCGTCCAAGCTTGAAATCTTCCACGTTATAAAGTAAATTCAGGTTTGTATATTTTCAGTAGACAGTATGTAAGCAAATATATGGATATAAATCCGACAGTATGAAAGAAAAATACTGAAAAAAACAAAATTCTGAATATGCATTATTAATGTTAAAATATATATATATAATACTCACTCACTCCCTAAGAACCAGATGAGACACACACACTTAACAGAGACATATCTCCTTTCCAGGAACCAATAAAACTGTCAAACTGACCAAGGGAATTCAGAGCAGCATGAATCCATCCAGCTCTTATCTTAAATAACAACTTAAAAGAGACTGTTTGACCAACACAAGGACTGACCAAAATTCATGTTAAAAAAACAAACAAAAATAAATGAAAACTACAGACAAAAGTTCCTTTTTTTCATCAAGACATTCATTTCTGTAGTTCACTGCTACCAGCAAGCAGAAAATTATTTTTCTCCTGATGATGGCCATGTTGGCCGAAACTACTCGAGGAATCTAAATGAAATAATAAAAACGAAGGAATATTTATATACAACCCAGTGTGTCTGAAGATTTTAATTTCTTAATATTTTTTTTTGTTCAATATATATATATATATATATATATATATATATATATATATATCATTGTCATCTTTATCCCTTATCAAAAAATTCAATTACTTAATTTAATTTAATTTGATATATATGAAATTCTGCTGAAATGTTATCCTCAAATTCACTTCTCAAAATCTCCCCAAATATCATATATCATATATATCGAGGATTTTTCGGCCTGATTAGATTTGTTTCGTTTGGGGAGATAATAATGGTTTATACAAGTATTACTAATTAACCCATAGCTGGGGGAAGTGGTGGATTCATACCTGTCCCAAGAATATTTCCGAGTAAGTGAATATAATGAAACGAACTGGAATTGAAATTCGGGTTTCCGATTAACAATTCAGTGCTATTATCCATACAACCAACCGCACATCCACGCTTGCAGTACCTGGTATCCACAAGCGGTTACCCATCTAGGTACTGACCAGGCTCGACGTTGCTTAACTTCGGAGATTGCACGGGAACCGGTGTTTCAACCTGATGCGGGCGTAAGTCTAAACACGTATGGAAAGGCAGGAGAGCCGCATACTGTAGATCAGTATCTTGCAAATTAGTATCACGGACTAATACAGTTGTATAAACTTAAATCCTCATTGGGCACGCACACTTGTTTAATTTTGTTAGGCTACGTGAACGTAATAAAAAGCATGTAATATTAACTAAAGGTCTTAATATCCTGACCTTCTACCAAGTTAAATTATAATCAGTATAGTATTCGTCCTATATGAGCAGAAGTGTACATTAGTAGACATAGATCGCTGCATTTCAAATTAGACAGATTTTCGTGCTTAGAAGGCTGGCGCAACACTATCTTTCAACCTAGCTTCTCGATTTTTTAACCCTTACTAAATACCTATCGTCAGCACTAGCTCGCATCCGAGCATTGGGATGGTTATCCTCTCTTCCTATTACTCCACCCATCGCCGGAAGGTTCAGCCTATACCTGAAGAGCCGTCAGCAGGAGTTACAGAAGAGTGTGGGTGGTGGACGCCGTTGAGCAAGTCGGGCCCTCATAACAGCACGTGTTAGATCCTCTTCATGTCGACGGTTGAACTCGAAAGTCTCGCATCAATGGATCCCTCCACCCATCGATAGTCCTAAGCCGATTCGCAACAACGGTTTCCCAGGTGTCATGGTTGATGTTAGCGTTTGTCAGGGCCGCAAGAATTCTGATCAACTGGTCCTTGAAACGTCGATTTGGACCTCCGTCTAGCTTCTTGCTAGCTCTCCAAACAGGATGATATAATGGAGTTGAATGGGATACATTTTGGATCATGTCGTCTGCCCAGCGGAGGTGACGTTGAAAGATGGTAGCCTTGATGCTGAAGAGAGACTCCAAGAAAGGACCTTGTTGTTTGTGATGCGTTCCTTCCAACTGATGCGTTCCGGATCGCATCTGGCTCCACACGGAACTACATCAAATGGTATTAACGAAAAGAACGATTTCTTTTGCCAATTCGTTTTCATTTCTAGAGAAGGACAGATGTGGTAGTTTGGGTTCTAAGAGACAGCGGGAGGAATGATGTCACAGGAACGCATATCGCTCGTTCGCTAATTAGCGTCCCTCCGCGTGAGGTCTTAGCCGGTCTCTTGAACCTGGGCGTGGGAAGCGTATCGTCGCTTCAGAATTCTTGCAGCCCTCTGTTGAATTCACTGTCAGAATACCACATCCGCAAGTCACTCCGGTCAATCAATGACGAATTATTCGTAAGATTCTTCGAAACTTCGGTCGCATGCATAGAAAAGGGTAACGGGGACCACAGCCCGGAAGACAGTGATTTTGGTTGTGAGGCGGCATGGGCCGCTTTAATTTTAACTATGCATATTAACAGAATTTGGTTATCAGATTATGTAAACTAATCAATATAATGACACATGGATCATTTAATACCGAATATACGAAGTTTGATCCAAATGTATCGGGACTGGTGCAGTGAAAAGAAAACTACAACACATACCAATTCAGAATTTAATCTCCTTCGAAGTAGTCCCCTTTTGAATCTACACACTTTATTCATCCTCGTTTATATTGATGAAAACCGTCTTGGAGATCCTTTTTTGGGGGACATCGATCAATTGCCTTGCTGGATTCTAGGACGTCTTGAAATATTCTCACTTTAGAGTGTCGTCTGATTTTTGGAAAGATGAAAATGTCGTAAGAAGAGAAATCTGGAGAATATGATGGCTGCATAAGCCATGGTCATTGATTGAATCTCTGTGGTGTGGTCGGACGACCGCACTCTACACACTTTCCTACTATACACTGCTATAAACGACAGAAATGCGTGAGATCGGTATAACATAGTGTGTATGCAGGATAGAGTTAAACGTAAATCTGTATCAAGCGGCTTCGCTCTGCATGATTAAGCTCCGTTGCTATAGCAACAGTCTCTATGCTAATCAAACCTCGTATATATTATATGACAAAAATCAGAATGAATTATTTAACAGGTAGATTGAGATCTGATTTCTACTAAATTCGAAAAGGTAGACACAGATGAGGTTACACAAGTTTTACAAAGGTAATGACCGGTTTACACTCGAGTAAAAAATCCAAGCATAGGTTCGGTTTACACTGGAGACTAAAAGATACGCATAGACTTGAGTCAGGAAGGCAGGCAAATGACCGGTTTACACTCAAGTAAAAAATCCAAGCATAGGTTCGGTTTACACTGGAGACTAAAAGATACGCATAGACTTGAGTCAGGAAGGCAGGCAAATGACCGGTTTACACTCGAATAAAAAATCCAAGCATAGGTTCGGTTTACACTGGAGTCAAAAAGGCAGATATAGTATTCTTTCACAGTTTATAGTCAGCGTGTCCGGCTTACACTTGAGTCAGAAAGGTAGATATAAGCCGGGTTTAACCTAGGGTCAAGAACTAATAAAAACCAAGTTTACACTAGGGTAAAAAAGAGAGAGACAGCTCCTGTTTACACACATCCAAAAATATATATGGCTTACACTAGGGTAAAAACAGCAGACATCGACTCGATTTACACTTGAAGCCGAAAGATTGACATTGGTCGTTTTTATACCCGAATCTGCAAGACTCCACACTAAAATTTGACATCGATCCAGATCACACCCGAGTCAAGAGTTATAACTGTCCAATTTACACGAAAGTGAAAAGGTAAATAAACGTCCAGTTTACTTTTGAGTCAAAAAGGTACACATATATTCGTTTTAACTGGAGTAAAAAAAGAAAAGGTAGACATAGATCAGGTTTACGTTGGAGTAAAAGATGGAGACATGTCCAGCTCACATTAACGTGAATAGATAGACAAAAATCCGAATTACGTTGGAGCAAAAGATAGAGATATATCCAGCTCACATTAAAATAAATAAGGCGACAAAGATCAGGTTTACGTTGGCATAAAAGATGGAGACATGTCCACCTAACATTAAAGAGAATAAGGAGACAAAGACCGGGTTTCGTTGGAGTAAAAAATGGAGACATGTCCAGCTCACATTAAAATGAATAGGGAGACAAAGACCGAGTTTCGTTGGAGTAAAAGATGGAGACATGTTAAGCTCACATTAAAATGAATAGCGAGACAAACATCCGGTTTACGATGGAGTAAAAGATGGAGACATGTCCAGCTCATATTAAAGTGAATAAGCAGATAATGATCCGGTTTACCTTGGAGTAAAAGATGCAGACATGTCCAGCTCACATTAACATGAATAGGGAAACAAAGATCCGGTTTAAGATATTATCATAAAAGTAGTCATTGCTTGTGTTTATAGCCGAGTATGTGTGTGTCCAACCGGATAAGTGATTCCATTTTGGTGGGATCTTACCATTCTGCGGTGGATTCACTTAGTGGATTTTAATAGCAACAAAATGTGCAAAAATGTCTTCATGCAAGATCGTGAGCGACAGAAATAGATGTTGGAGAAAAAATCAACATGAAAGGTTTGTTTTGGTTTGGTTTAAGGCATATCAACCTCAATGGGTTATTTAATGCCGACAAGATTTTTTATTGCTGGTAATATTTTTTCAAAAATGTATTGCTCCAGTTGAATTCATTACATTCACTTACATGCTAATACCCTTGGAAAAGGTATGAATCTTCTTCTTCTTCTTCTTCTTCTTCTTCTTCTTCTTCTTCTTCTTCTCCACCTCCCCCCAGCTATGGGTAAATAGCAGGACTGACCGGGTTCTATAGCCTTGGATAGCAACTGGTCTAGCACAGAAAGTAATGGCAACTTACAGCGGGAAAAAATCTGCCTCGTCAGTCATGTATGGAAAGATACATGATCGTTTAAGCGTGTATCACGCATGGCACATAACTGACTGACTGATTGCTGGTAAATTACTGGTAATATTTTTCCGTCAAAAATGTATTGCTGGTAATATTATTTCTTCAAAAATGTATTGCTGGTAATGATGTATCTCTGGTAATAATGTTTTCTTCGAAATAATTTATTGCTGATATTAAAACCTTTTTTTACCCTTTCATAGTGCATTGACCCCTGTTTGGGGGTTAACTATTTGCCCATAGATGGGACCCTAACAGGTGCTACCACCTTGGGTCAGGGCGGACATGGGTACACCAGCAATTAAGAGGTGGTTCCACGCTACTCAAAACTTTGCTGTCTGATGTAGTTTATCGTGTTACCCAGGAAGCGGATGTGGTTTATCGTCTTACCCAGGACGCTCAACATGAAAGATAATGCCAGCAATTTTATTAAAAGTCATAACCAAATTTAGTGTACTAACTGACTAACTAGATAAAAATGAATGAAATCAAATGAAGAAAGTAAAAGGTGTGTGTAAAGAACGAAAAAGAAAAACTAATGTTTGAAAAGACACCGGGAAATGGCGGCGTCGTTCGAGCGGGTTAAGATGCACAGAAATAAAAAAAGTCAACAACAAAGATTACGAACTGAACGCAAAATGTCCTTCGTGCATGGGAATGAAATCAATATTTAAAAAATGTAACTGTCCGATTTTTCTTGTCTCTTGGCTGTTCTATTGTCTCTGCCGTTGACACAGATGACATCAGTTTACACTTTGATGCCAGCGGCGAGCAATCGAGTGCTTTTTTTTTTAAAATTCGAATGCGTTCTTGCAGGTTTTAAAAACAAATACGACTAAATTTTATTTAATGACAAAGCTTTTCTATTTTTAATAAGATATGACTAAACTGTCCTCAATGAAAAAACAACTGAATCAATTAGCTTTTAAGATAGTTTTGTTTTCATCTTGAATTAGAATGAAATTATATAACAAAAATGGGTATGTCTGGCACAGTAATAAGAAAGTTACAAATCACGAGAGTGGGGTTCAAATCTCAACTTCGTCGATTTGTCAAGAGGGTGAATTTTTGTCGCTATTTGCCATGAGATATTTACTTCTTTATTTTTAGTATCTAGAGATTTATCTTCGCCTTTTTTTTCTTTTTTTCTATTTTTTTTTTCTTTCTTTCTTTCTTTCTTTCTTTCTTTCTTTCTTTCTTTCTTTCTTTCTTCATATTCCTCTGTTGTATAATATTTATATTCATATCTTTCTATACAGTGTTTTTTTTTCAGTCTTTGTTTATATATATTTATATATCTGTCGTTCTTTGCCCATATTCTCATCTTCGTGTCTATTTCAATCCGTTCATATCTATCTATCTATCTATCTATCTATCTATCTATCTATCTATTTGAACCTGTTCATATCTATCTATCTATCTATCTATCTATCTATCTATCTATCTGAACCTGTTCATATCTATCTATCTATCTATCTGCGTAGTTTTTTGTCCATATTATTTTTTTTATATATTTTACATCTGCGTCTTTTTTGTCCATATTCAACCAATCTATCTTTTTTCATCTGTTTCTTTCTTTCAACCAATCTTTTTTTTCATTTTTCTTTTCATTCTATCTTTCTTTTTTTCTTTCATCTCTTTCTCTCTCTCCATCTATCTATCTATCCATCTATATCTATCTATCTATCTATCTATTTCTGTCCGTTCATATCTATCTATATAGCAAGCTCTCTCAATCTGTTCATATCTATCTATCTATCTATCTATCTATCTATCTATCTATCTATCTATCTATCCAAAAAAATGTCCTCCGGAGCCCATTTGAATACTCATAGTGAAATCATGAGATTTTATAGCCTCGAATGAGGTCATTCTAAGACCACGTGATTGATGCGTTGACGTTTCTCAATGACAGAAGTAGTCGCCATCTTGCTGAGCCGTCTGACATGAATGACGTCACACTTGTCCCACTTCCTGAGAACGTTTACTATAGACGGCAGCAATACATCAAGATTTTTGCCTCCGTTTGTATATATATGTATTTTATGTGACCCGACCCATCGTTTGGATTTCTTAATAGCTATATCTCTCTATTCGCCTTTATTTATATGTATCTACCATTCTTACAGTTATATCTAACCAAGAGAATATAATATATATATATAATATATATATATATATATATGTGTGTGTGTGTGTGTGTATATATATATATATATATATATATATATATGTATATATATATATATATATATATATATATGTATATATACATATATATATATATATATATATATATATAAAGAAAAAGTTATTTGTTTGGATAAGTCTTGTTCTTATGTACATCGTCTTTGTCATGTTGTATTGATAATGTTATAATTTATGAATATGTCCTGAAGATGGTTTATTAGACCGAAACGTCAGACGTTGACATATTAACATTAAAACAGCATAATTGTATATAAGGATTTTTGTTTGTTTTTTTCCGTATATTTGTCTTCATACTGTCGGATCTATATCCATATATATATATTTACATTATTCGGACTATTGTACTCATCTTTGTCGCCATATTTATCACAACGTTTCGGCCGTTGTACACTCCGGCATTCTTCAGGTGTTTGGAATGTCGAACTGAACCTTTTATTTTCGCTCACTGGGGTAGACTGTTCTAGTTCCACGTGCCATGTTTTTAATGGATGTCAGTTATCAGTTATCTCCTGTTAATTTCCCTCTGAAAGTTCTCCACTGCCTTAACCGGGTATTGAACTCACATTCTTTGGATCCTGTCACTGGATCTAACCAACGCCTTTATCCACTGTGCCATGTGTCCTTGAACATTCTACCCCGGTGAGTGAAATAAAGGGTTCTGTTCGTCATTCCAACCACCTGAAGAAAGCCGGAGTGTACAAAGGCCGAAACGTTGTGATAAATATGGCTATAAAGATGAGGACAATAGTCCGAATAATGTAAATAATGTACATAATACCTCATTTCAGAAATATAGATATATATATATTTAATATAATATAATATAATATAATATATATATATATATATATATATATATATATATATATATATATATATATATATATATATAATATAAATGAATTTGAAGATTTTGGTTTCTGTTATGGAAACATGGCAATTCCTGTGTAGCGATGAAACCATATTTTTAAAATTATATATATATATATATATATATATATATATATATATATATATATATATATATATATATAGATTCAAAAACATGTAATAGAGAACTGAAAGGCAGAAATATAAAATATTTGAATGAAATGTTATTCTATAATATACTTTGATCATTATAATCATGAAATAATAATGTAAAATGAAATTTGAGCTCACGTTGGTATAGGAAGCCGAAGGGTGTACAACCTACTCATGCTCCACCAAAATATTATCATGTTGGGAATCATTGTTGCAGAATCTTTAGTGAAATGACGCTACTCAGTTATTTATATATATATATATATATATATATATATATATATATATATATATATATATATATGTATATAGATTCAAAACATGTAATAGAGAACTGAAAGGCAGAAATATAAAATATTTGAATGAAATGTTATTCTGTAATATACTTTGATCATTTTAATCATGAAATAATAATGCAAAATGAAATTTGAGCTCACTAGAAAAAAATTCACTGTTAATAACGCATTCTCGAATTGCCCCCTTTTTCTGTTGGTATAGTAAGCCGAAGGGTGCACACATCCTACGCATGACCCACCAAAATATCGCTTTTCTATTTCTGATGAGTATGTTTCATATCGAGTTTTGTATATTAACACGCATCCATGTGCCCGTATAGAGCTCTGGTTTGAGAGATGTAGGGTCAGCCGTCTTGCTAAGCGAAGGTGGCGTGTGCCGCATAATACATACAATAAAAATGCAATGCAAAACCTGACAGAAATAACCTGTCATTCATTTTTAATGAAACATGTATTAGGGAGAGTTTGTTGTCAAAAACACTAATATGTATGATGTTTTTTTTGTAAATATATTGTTATGACAAAAATGTGTAGACTTTAAGAAATCTTTATTGAACAGAGAATCCAACGTTCGCGTATAGTGTCCTTTTATAGTCCCAGTAAACAGAAATAGCTGTCCCAAAGAGAAGAGTAACAAAACAAGTGGAGACCACACTTGATTATTCATAACATGTATATCTACATTTAAATATTTACATTTTTATTACGTCCATATTTATATGTATGATTGTTTATTTATTCATATATATATTAGTGTATTTCAATTTGCTTGTGTGTACGTTTATGTTATTTATCTAATTGGTATTTTGTATGTATATATAAGTTTTTAAAGGAGAGATGTGTATTGTGATGTATGTATTTGCAATTATGTGAATCATGTGTCTGTATATATGTATATATATATATGATGTTCTTATGATACGTAAATATATATTACTTTTAAGATATATACATTGGGTTTAATGGAATTCATATATTCACATGTATATATATATGTGTGTGTTAAACGGTATACGTATACATACATACATACATATATATATATATATATATATATATATATATAAAGTATATAAATATAAAATATATACAAATTATATATATATATATATATATATATATATATATATATATAAACATACTGTGGCCTGACGATTGCATCTAGCATTAAACAGACTGTCACCTCTAAAGTGTTGATTTCAATGTTCACTTTTATATTTACACACGCTCTATCTCTGATATTGAGCACTTTACCCCCGATAAATATAAAACACCTTAAGACTATATTTCTTATATATATATATATATATATATATATATATATATATATATATATATATATGTTATGATGTTGATTTGGGGTTAGTAGAGAAAAACGACAAAAAACGCGTAACAATAAAAAAGGGTTTTAATAGGTTGGTAAAAGGTACAGAAATCGCCTGAGTAGTCAATAACTAGCTCAGCTAAGAACTTCTCTGTCTATCTGTCATCTGACATACCACTATTTAAAGTCTTTGTTCGCAGACAAGTTCATCTTCAAGACGGGTGGTAGGTTTCCGACACAACAATATATATACTCATATATATACTCATATATATAAACTGATATATACTCATATATATATATACTCACATATATATATGTGTATTCATATATATATATATATATATATACTCATATATATAGTCAATAAATATATATATACTCAGTAAATATATATATATAGTAAGTAAATTTAAATTTAAATATATATATATATATATATATATATATATATACATACATATGCATATATATCTCATTCAAAATTTGATAGTCATAAAAGAAATTATAACGTCGGTATAAAGTATGTTACAATATATGAACTGATCCCTCACTTTGTGACCACGGTAGTTTGTATATATTTATAGTCAAGCGAATGTAAATAAATCTAAAAGACATGCCTGTGTAGCTAATTAATATTTCATTGATTGATTGATTCGTTTTTTACGGCTTACCAACCCTTTGCAGGTTGTTTAAATCCAGAAAATATTTTCCTTATATAAACTGATCCCTCATTTTGTGGCCACGGTAGTTTCTATACATTTGTAAACCAGAGAATGTAAATAAATCTGAAAGACATGCCTGTGTAGCTAACCAGTATTTCATTGATTGATTGATCCGTTTTTTATGGATTATCAACCATTTGCAGGTTATTTAAAGCCAGAAAAAAATTAGATTGTAAGAATTTTATTTAATTTAATTTAGGTGGATTAAGATAATAATGATTCAGGGATACAACTCCTACGAATTAACCCATAGCTGCAGTGGGAGAAAAGGTAGATTCTTAAACTTCCCAAGAGTATTTGCGCGTTAGGGAATATGTCGATTGGAATTAGAACCCGACTCTCCTAATTCAAAATCTGATTTACTATCCATTGTTTACAGCACCTGGTATACGCAAGCGGTCACCGTTCTAGGTACTGACCATGGTCGACGTTGCTTAACTTATGTGATCGGATAAGAAGCGGTGTTACAACCTGATATGGCCGTAAGCCAATTATAATGTGGATATAAAGTAGGGGATCAATTCTAAATTACAATCAATATATAAACTGATCCCTCACTTTGTGGTCACGGTAGTTTCTATACATTTACCTTCTTGAGAATGTAAATAAATCTAAAAATCATGCCTGTGTAGCTAATCAATATTTGATTGATTCATTCATTTTTTACGGCTTATCAACCCTTTGCAGGTTATTTAAAGCCAGAAAATATTTTTAGATTGTAAGATTTTTTTCTTTCTTTTCTTTGATACCATAATGATTCACTGGTACAAGTGCTACTCATCAACTAATAGGTTGGGTGGGGAGAAGATGCTGACACATACCCTTAACAAGGGTATCCCCGCGCAAGTGAATATAACGAACCCACATTAAATTTGAACTCGCAGACACAATTTCTACCCTCAACAAACATTTCATTATATAATGACCCTAAAATAAGTAATGGTTTCGGGATTGAAGCATCATTACCACTACACACCAGCTATACCTCACGATAGTACAGCGTGAGAATGCAAATTCAATACAGATTCAGTTCTTTCTGTGTGTTCATATAATCCCTTGTATTTTTCCTTTAGTATTCCCACTATTAGTGAAGCCACCGGGTAGGACACCTTACTTATTAATCAACCCTCGCAAATTACAAGCAAGGCTGCAATCATTCGTATTTGAAGCGGATGCGATATACCAGCACTCTTTACGGTTGGAGAATGCCTGCTACTGAAATGATTTAATATTTTACTCATTTTCTTTTCATTAAGACAAGAGCTATTAAAGGTTCTCAGTTTTTGTGACGCTGTCGTGCGAGGAATTATGTGATTTTTATGGTACACGGGTCTTTTTCATATATTTTCCTGCATATATATATATATATATATATATATATATATATATGTGTGTGTGTGTGTGTGCGTGTGTGTGTGTGTGTGAGTATGTGTGTGTTGTGTGTGTACTCGCATGCGTTGGTAATATTATCTGCGTACGGTAGGCTTGCGTAGCAGTGTGAGACTGTAGAAGCACGCACAAAGTAAGATCCTGTCGCGTCACTTTGGCAGCGCCCGCAGTCAAAATTCCTTTTGGAAATGGCCGATCGATTGAGTTAACGTTTACCATGCGAGCATTGACTGAGATAATCAAATTAAACGTCGGACTAAATGAAATTACAACCCACCAAGTGTGCGTTCGTCAATTCTCTTTACACGGGCAGCAGATAAGAATTATTCGCCAAATTCGTCTTTTGACACCGGTTAATTGAATTCTACAAATTGAATTAGAAAAGAGAAAAGCGAATTTAACGAAAAAAAAAAAAAAAAAAGAAATTATGAAAATTTGCTACCTGCGTTTTCATTGTTCACGTTTATGTGTGCGTCTGTCTGTAAGTGTGTGTGTCTTAATGTTCATATGTTGTTCTTTTCGTTACTGTCTGCAGATTTTTTTTCTTTCGTTCAATGTATGTATATCTTTCTTTTTAGTCTTCTTTTTCTCCTGTATTGTTCAAACTCTCAGGCTGGAGTTTGTCAACAAGTGCGCGTTTTATGTGGTTCGAGAAAAGACAGGTGCACTGTCGATAAGAATGATGATAAGAAAGAAAGAAAGAAAGAAAGAAAGAAATAGAAGAGAAAGAAATGGAAAAGAAATGGAAAAGAAATGGAAAGAAAAAAAAAAAAAAGAAATGTAAAAAAAAAGAAATGAAAAAAGAAAGAAAGAAAAAAAAAGAAAGAAAGAAAGAAAAATGAAAGAAAGAAAGAAAAAAAAACAGAAAGAAAGAAAAAGAAGAAAGAAAAGAAAGAAAGAAAAAGAAAGAAAAAGAAAAAAAAAGGAAGAAAGAAAAGAAATGGAAAAAAAGAAAGAAATGTAAAGAGAAAGAAAGAAAGAAAATGAAAAGAAATAAAGAAATACAGAAAAAAAGAAAGAAGAAAGAAAGAAAGAAAGAAAGGGAAAAGAAAGAAAGAAATGGAAGATAAAGTAACAAACAAAGAAAGAATAAAGGAAATAAATGGAAGAGGAAAAAAGTCAAAAAGAAGAAAAAAAGAAGGAAAGAAATGTAAAAGAAAGAAAGAAATGGAAGAGAAAGAAAGAAAGAAGGAAAGAAAGAAATGTAAAAGAAAGAAAGGAAGGGAAGAGAAAGAAAGAAATGGAAGATAAAGAAAGAAAGAAATGTAAAAGAAAGAAAGAAATGAAACAGGAAGAAGAAAAAGAAAATGGAAGAAATAAAGAAAAGAAAGAAAAAAGAAAGAAAAAATAAAGAAAGAAAGAAATAAAAAAAGAAAAAAGAAAGTAAGAAATGAAAGAAAAGAAAAAGAAAGAAATAAAAGAAAGAAATGTAAAAAGAAATGAATGAAAGAAAAGAAATGTAAAAAAGAAAGAAAGAAAGGAAGAGAAAGAAAAAAAGAAAGAAAGAAAGAATAAAGAAAAAAAAAAGTAAGAAAGGAAGAGAAAGAAAAGAAAGAAAAAAGAAAGAAAGAAAAAAAAGATAAAAGAAAGAAAAGAAAAAATGTAAAAGAAAGAAAGAAAGAAAGAAAGAAAGGGAAGAGAAAGAAAGAAATGGAAGATAAAGAAAGAAAGAATGAATGAAAGAAAGAAATAAAGAAAGAAAGGGAAGAGAAGGAAACAAGTAAAGAAAGAATAAAGGAAATAAATGGAAGGGAAAGAAAGAAAAACAGAAGAAAAAAGAAAGAAATAGAAAAGAAAGAAAGAAATGTAAAAGAAAGAAAGAAATGGAAGAGAAAGAAAGAAATAAAGAAAGAATAAAGGAAATAAAAGGAAGAGAAATAAAGAAAAAAGAAGAAAAAAGAAAGAAAGAAATTGAAAAGAAAGAAAGAACTGGAAAAGAAAGAAAGGAATCAAAGAGAAAGAAAGAAAGAAAGAAAGAAAGAAAGAAAGAAAGAAAGGGAAAAGAAAGAAAGAAATGGATGATAAAGAAAGAAAGAAATTGAAAAGAAAGAAAGAACTGGAAAAGAAAGAAAGGAATCAAAGAGAAAGAAAGAATGATAAAGAAAGAAAAAAAAAGGAAAAGAAAGAAAGAAATGGATGATAAAGAAAGAAAGAAATGTAAAAGAAAGAATGAAAGGAATGTACGAGAAGGAAAGAAAGAAAGAAAGAAAGAAAGAAAGAAAGAAAGAAATGGAAGATAATGTTGAAATAAATAAATCATTTAATGCCGACATTTAAATATGTTGTACGCAATTTATTTTTTATTTTATTTTAGATGATAACGGTTTTAGTGATGCAAGTCTTACTAATTAACCCATAGCTGGGGGGGAAGAGTTCATACCTTTCCCTAGGTATTTGCGCAGAAGTAACTCTAACGAACCCAAATGAAATTGAAACTCGGCTCTCCGATTAGCAATTCTGAGCCATTATCCCTTACACACCCGCATATCCAAGCTTTCAGCAACTTGTATCTCCAAACGGTTACACAGCAGTGATCGTATGAGTGATACGGCTGTAAGCACATATATAAGGAAAGATGGTTTGGAGAATTTAACATTCACATGACATAATGAAGAAAACCAAAAGGAGGAGGAGTAGAAAATTTGGCAATTCTCAGTAGATAGGAATCAGACGAAGAGAGGTGATAAATACGCAAGCGTTACTGAGAAAAACAAAAGATAGGAAGCTGTGGAGTGTCGTGTTTTAGATAGAGAATAAGAAGGGGTTTTTAAATTATTTCACATCAAGTAAGGAAATCAAGCCAATGAAACTCTTACATATTTATAAATCAATCTTTCGTCTTTGCTTTGAATATTGCTGCCACGTTTGGTCGAGTGCTTTTGCTATGTATTTAGAGAATCTTCATAAAATCCAAAGAATCTACAATATTATTGGTCTTTGACGTGGTATCTCGGCTGCAGTCACTTTCGCACCGTCGTAATATAGTTTCCCCCTGTGCCATTTCTGTAAATACTTTCAAGGTAATTGTTCTGACGAACTTATATCAATGGTACCTAGATTTAAGAATTTAAGCGCAGTACTAGGCTGGCGGTTAGGTTTCATCATTTTACAGTTGGAAAGGGCTAGATGTGACCGTAAATTATATGCTAAAAATTTCTTCGCTCGCACTTACCGCTTGGGGAAATCTCTGATTGGTTCTTGCTTAACAAATAAATTTGATCTTCAAAAATTTAAACGCAATCGCAATAGTTATTTTGACTTCTTAATTCTTGTTCTTTTATTGTTCTCTCTCATGAATAGTAGTTTTTTTCTCTGTAACCACTTATATATATATTTTTTAATATATTTATATTATATATTTATATTAATATATATTATATTTTTAACCACTTATATATATATTTTTTAATATACATACTTTTCTCTTGTTGGAACCACTACAACATATTTTTTTTATATATATATATATATATATATATATATATATATATATATATATATATATATATATATATGAACAGAAGAGATATGAATAGAATACTATAGATAGATCAGTCAGTTATGTGCCAAGCGTGATACACGCTTAGGCGATCATGTATCTTTCGATACATGACTGATGAGGCAGATTTTTTTCTCGCAGTAGATTGTCCTTTCTTTCTGCCATCCAAGGTTCTAGAACCAGGTCTGTCTTTCTATTTACTCTTAAGAAACGTGAATGTAATGGATTCGACTAGAATTCGAACACGGCTCTCCGATTCCCAAATCCGAGCCGCTATCCATTACTCCACCGTGTCTCCTCCGCAGAATAATATAGATAGATATGAACAGAATAAAATAGATAGATAGATAGACAAACAGATAGATAGATAGGAACAGAATAAGATAGATAGATAGATAGATAGATAGATAGATAGATAGATAGATAGATAGATAGATAATGTTTAACTAGGAAAGGTTACTGAACAGAATAATCAAATGACGGTTTGTAATGAAAGGTAATACAAGAACAACACATATAAGATTCGCCAGCGGTGCGTAGAAGTAGTCAATTCAAAATGAAATGAATTCCACAATGAATTTCCAGCTGAAGACCAACATACAGTATTTACTACTGTATTTATGTGAATGGGGACATACCTGTTATCGTCCGTAGGTATGCTACAACAGACAGACAGACGGATAGATAGATAGATAGATAGATAGATAGATAGATAGATAGATAGATGTGAATAGCCTAAGATAGATAGATAGATAGATAGATAGATAAAGAGAGAAAGATATGAACAGCTCGAGAGAGATAGATAGATAGATAGATAGATAGATAGATAGATAGATAATGAATATATTGAGATAGATAGGTAGATAGATAGATATGAAGTCACTTGTATTAAGATATATATATATATATATATATATATATGGGGAGAGAGACAGAGACAGATTGATCGAAAAGGACATAAAACGCTCAGAATCAAGAGAAAAATTGAAAAACTGATAAAAAATCAGCGAAAAGGAAAAAGAAGGAGGAAATGGCGAGACGGAGAAAGGCAATGGCGAACAAATGAATCTCCAAAATGAAATGATGAGAGACCGGAAGTGTTTTAATGATAGAATTAGTGAGACGGTACCAACTATAGATTGAAGATCCTATACTTTGTTATGGTTACGCCTGGCTGCATCGGTTAAGAGTCATGGCTTGTGTCTACTAATCGCTTGCAATTGGATGTGGTTTCAATTTAGATGTAGGAATGAATAGAGTCACTGGATGAAAAGGGAAAAAAGAAAAAATGAAAGAAAATATTTAAGGATCGGATTAAAAGATTATCAGAAAGATAAGAAAAATAAGGGAAAGGAAGGAAAGAAGAAAAAAATAAATGAATGAATGAAGGAAAGAGGGGGAGAGAGAATTGAATAAATAATAAAGAAAAACAGGGGAACAACACATTGGTGAGACTGAAATAGTTAGAAGAGAGAAAGAAAGAAAGTAGAAAGAAAGAAAGTAGAAAGAAAGAAAGAAAGAAAGAAAGAAAGAAAGAAAAATACAAAATAAAAAGAAAGAAAATAGAAAATTGAATGAAATAAAGGAAAATAAAAAGAAAGACAAACATAAGAAAGAAAGAAAGAAAGAAAGAAAGAAAGAAAGAAAAGTGAAATCGAATAATGTCAGAGGAAGGGTACACGAAAGAAAGAAAGAAAGAAAGAAAGAAAGAAAGAAAGAAAGAAAGAAAGATTGAGAAAATTAAGGACAAAGAAAAAAAGAAAGAAAGAAAGAAAGAAAAGTTCCAAAATAGAATGAATGAATGAAAGGAAGGAAGAAAGTATGAAAGAATGAAAGAAAGAAGGAAAAGGGATGAATGAAAAAAGAAGGAAAGACAAAATACTAATTGGCGAATTTGAAAATGTTAGCGAAAGGGTATAATATAGAAAGAAAGAAAGCAAGAAAGGAGCAAGAAAAAAAGGAAGAAAGAAAGAAAGAAAGGAAAAAGAAAGAAAGAAAGAAAGAAAGAAAAAGGGATGAATGAAAAAAGAAACAAGAAAAGACAAAATAGTAATCGGCGAAATCGAAAAAATTTTTGCAAAACTTTAGAAAAAAGAAAGAAACAAGCAAACAAGGTAAGAAAGAAAGAAAGAAAAATCTAGAAGCGTAGCCGTTCAACACGATTTCATAATATGATTTGTCTACGTCAAATATTCGGCCAGCGATGCAATAACCTCTGAGGCTGTGCAGAAAGCCAGCATACTAAAACCTGTCAAAAACTTCGAGATATCTAAAGCCACAGCCAGAGCCACGCCATTCTTATTTAAATTTTGATAATTACATTTAGAAATAACTGTTAGCATATTGGCCTTAGCCGTATTGTTTATTTGAAAGGAGGCCGTGTGAAGTGGGATGCTTAACCAATTCATATTGATTAGAGACTGTAGAATTACTTACAGTATTCGAACTTCCTTGTCATAATTACGACGTTTCAGTCGTTGTATGTTCCGGCCTTCTTCAGGTGGTTAGAATTTGGAACCGAACCCTTTATTCCGTTCCCCGGCGAGGATTGTTCTAGTTCCACATGCCATACCCCTTCTGAATGTCTCAGTTATTTTCCTTTAACTCGACTCTTCATGTTTTTTGGTTCACCACTGCTGTAGCCTGGTATTGAACTAAACAATTCTTTGCGTCTGTCACTGGATCTAACCAACACATTTAGCCACAGCGTACAACAGCCGAAACGTTGTGAATATGGCAATAAAGATGAGGTTAACAGTCCGAATAATGTAAAGAATGTAAGTAATCATATAATCGCTCATCTTAGAGATATAGACAGATAGAGACTGCTAAAAAGGTGTTTTGAGGCGTGAGAAGGTTCGTCAGAGTTCTTAAGGACAGGAACTACAGAAGAAAATTTCCAGCAAAATGGTAAGCAAACTACAGCAAGGCGTTTGTTATAGAGTTGAGCCGGGCTATTTGTCTACGCCTCGTGGCACTCCTAAAGAGGCTCCTGTTTTTGAATGTCAATTGGGATTCAATCTCTGATCGGACCTCAGCTGGCGTGTCCGTTAAGTTCATCACTATCAATTCACCGTGAGAAAAGTTCACTGAATAGAAAATTCACGATGAAAAAATATTCATAGAATAGATAATTCAAGATGAGAAAAGTTCACCGAATAGAAAATTCACCGTGAGAAAAGTTCATCGAATAGAGAATTCACGATGAGAAAAGTTCACTGAATAGAAAATTCACGATGAGAAAAGTTCATAGAATAGATAATTCAAGATGAGAAAAGTTCACCGAATAGAAAATTCACCATGAGAAAAGTTCACCGAATAGAAAATTCACCGTGAGAAAAGTTCATCGAATAGAGAATTCACGATGAGAAAAGTTCACTGAATAGAAAATTCACGATGAGAAAAGTTTATAGAATAGATAATTTAAGATGAGAAAAGTTCACCGAATAGAAAATTCACCGTGAGAAAAGTTCACCGAATAGAAAATTCACCGTGAGAAAAGTTCACTGAATAGAAAATTCACGATGAGAAAAGTTTATAGAATAGATAATTCAAGATGAGAAAAGTTCACCGAATAGAGAATTCACCGTGAGAAAAGTTCACCGAATAGAAAATTCACCGTGAGAAAAGTTCACTGAATAGAAAATTCACGATGAGAAAAGTTTATAGAATAGATAATTCAAGATGAGAAAAGTTCACCGAATAGAGAATTCACCGTGAGAAAAGTTCACCGAATAGAAAATTCACCGTGAGAAAAGTTCACCGAATAGAAAATTCACCGTGAGAAAAGTTCACTGAATAGAAAATTCACGATGAGAAAAGTTCATAGAATAGATAATTCAAGATGAGAAAAGTTCACCGAATAGAGAATTCACCGTGAGAAAAGTTCACCGAATGGAAAATTCACCGTGAGAAAAGTTCACCGAATAGAAAAATTCACCGTGAGAAAAGTTCACTGAATAGAAAATTCACGATGAGAAAAGTTCATAGAATAGATAATTCAAGATGAGAAAAGTTCACCGAATAGAGAATTCACCGTGAGAAAAGTTCACCGAATAGAGAATTCACGATGAGAAAAGTTCACTGAATAGAAAATTCACCGTGAGAAAAGTTCACCGTAAAAAGATGAAAAAATAAACAATCTTTTAATGGATTCTAATTTTAATAAACAACATATCTAAAACATTTTTAAAATCAGTTAAAGTAAGTAATATTATGCGCTTTAATTTAATAATTAAAACTTAGTTTTGTAATAACCGATATTCAGCGCTATGCCTTCGAAGTAGACAATGATAGAATTATATTCGTTACTTTTTGTTTGGTTTTAGTTGTTTATTTCTTCCGTTATATTCCTTTCAATCAGCTTAGCTATTATAGAAATTTCCAAATTTAGATTATATATATATATATATATATATATATATATATATATATATATATATATATATATAAATATATATATATATATATGTATGTATGTATATATATATAGTTGTATATTTAGGTAAAATAATCCTTCCTTTATGCATGTTTCATTAAAAACGAAGTACTACGGTTTTTTTTATTTAATTTTTCTTGTGTTCGAACAAGAGCTTTTTTCTGGACAAAAAGGTGTGTAAGAACTATCCAAATGTTTTAAAAAATCGAATCATCCTTGATAATGGCTAAAGATATAGCTGAAAGCGCACGGAAATATAAAACATTTGGACACTTTTACACACCCTTTGTCCAGAAAAGAAAGCTCTTCTTCGAACACAAGAAAAAAATTAAATAAAAAGCTTAACCGTAGTACCTCGTTTTAATGAAAATATATATATATATATATATATATATATATATATATATATATATATATATATATATATATATATATATATATATATATATTTATTTAAAATATGATTCCAACGCTACATTCATTTTTAAAAAATAATAACAAAAATACTAAAGAACTTTTGGATTATTTACCTAACGAGTTTTTTCCTATTTTCTATATATTTTTACACACACACCAAGTATATTGTCCATCTTAGAAACATAATCCGAATAGTCCAGTAGGACAACACCAACACCTTTATCAGGTTTAGTCATAACCAGGTTATAATTATTTTTTTTTTAATTTTTAATTACCCGGCGGTGTTGTTCTCCCCATTTTGACTCTGATGAAGAAACAGGAGCCAGCATAAGAATGGGCATAACTATTGAGTTTAGCCTTAAGATCGCTAAAAGATTCGACAGAGTGAGGGACAAGTCTACAAACCTGTGCATATAAAACCTCAAACTCCGAAAAGATTTTCTCAAGGTCAGGCATTGAAAACGGAAGACAAAAATCCAAACCATGAGCCAAGATACGAGTCTCCAAATTGGAAGGCTCATAAGATGAATAATTAAAGATAATTCCTTCCCCTGTAAGTTCATCACTGCATCCAAACCGTTTACGAATTAAGTAATTTAATTTTGTCTTCATAGATGCAGACAATTTTTTAACACCACAATCATTTGAATAACCAACTAACCGGGAAAAGCGAATTTGATCAAAGTACGAAAGTGTTGCCAAACACTTTCTCCACTGATTCTTAAAGGTACAATTGAGAAAAAGGATTCTTTTAGAAAAAGTTTTAATTGAATCCTCCATAAATATCTTCTCAATTTTTAAACCAGAATGTAGTCTCAAATTCCTTATCCTAAACATGATATTGGACGGACATACATGTCTATCAATACACGCTCGAAGAAACTCACATTGAAATTTTAACTGTCTTATACGTGCCTTGAGTGATAATAATTTATCTAAACTATGGATAAATTCAGGTTTGTACATCCGCTTTAAATATTTAAGTAAGTTTTTCGTGGTACAGAATTTAATAATAGATAGGAAAAGACAATATTTATAAGGCATTTTTAAAAAGCTAAAATAAAAACAACCGGTTTCGTCCCAGGACATATCAAGTTTATTTATTCTGGGAATTTAAAAAAGCGTGTTAATTAATTTTTAATTAACGAATGTAATTGAATGGGGAAAAAATATGAATTTCAAGAAACTAGAGTCCAATAATATTCAGACCCAGCAAGCATTCCCTCTGTTTACAAAGGGAAGGCTCACGGGATCTGATATACAAGGACTCTGGAACCTTGAGGTGAAATGTGGAGTGGGACCTCGATAAAATAATAAATCGGTCACCACTAAAGTTTTCCACACATTTCACTATTTATTAAATGTTCGACAATAGCAGAACCAGAACATATATATATATATATATATATATATATATATATATATATATATATATATATATATATATATATATATCGCATTCAAAACATTAATTTAAAACAGGGCTAAACACAAAAGTAGGGCCGTAAATATTTATTTATTATACAGTATTACATAAGAACATAAAAAAATATTTTAACCTTTCATCAGATGGGAAATCATGATACTACAGGGCATCGTGATTTCCCACCTGATGAAACGTTAACAAAAAATTTTAACATTGAAACAAGATGTATAGTTTTGTAGTGGGTATGTGCATGTTCTAATGTAACACTGCGTAATATATATATATATATATATATATATATATATATATATATATATGTGTGTGTGTGTGTGTGTGTATTAATTCTACAATTATTAATTGTAAAATGTTATGAATTTATACTGTGATCCGTACTTGTGGTTAAGTGATGGCGGTTCACTTACCGGTAAACCTCAAGTTGAACTCAAATATGAAACATAATCAAAAAATATCGGGACTGTTGCTATGGTAACGGAACTAAAGTACACAGAGGGAAGCTGCTTCGAACAGAGTGACCTTGAAATCAGTCGCATATGCACATTACATGATAATATTCTCGCTTACTTCCATTGATTTAAGCAATGATTGGAAGCGTGTAGTGTTTGGATATCTCACCATATTACAGAGGTTCTATCAGTGACCATGGCTTGTACAGCAGTTTTTAGCTAAACACAACTTTCCCAGCCTCCACAACCACCATATTTCCTAGATTTCACCGCTTGCAACGTTTGTCTATTTACAAAAATCAAATCCCACTTAAAAGGAAGAGGATTTCAAGACCTCGGGGAAATCCAAGATAATGTCACGAAGAAGCTGATCGCTATCCCACAAAAGAGTTTCAGGAATTCTTCCATCAAGAGAAATGAGGCTGGATAAAATGTGTAGCTTCAGAAGGGGACGATTTTGAAGGAGATTAAATGCCGACTTGTTATGTATGGTAGTTTTCTTTTTATTGAACCAGTTCCGATAATTTTTGATTAAATCTCGTATACGTTCCGTCGTACAAGAGGCTGGGCGAAATGTCGCCACATTGTATCTGAAAATAGATCCTAGTTAATTCCGCATGTAGTCCTTCAGAATGGGTAAAGAGTAAAAGATTTGTTTTTTTTTTATTTATCCATGTGTTTTCCGTTTAAAACACAAACATACACACGCAAACATATATATATATATATATATATATATATATATAAGATAAAGAACATATTGTAAACGTTTATCAATCTAAGTTGTTTCACTTTTAATTAAAGTTTCATTGATTCCGATGCATATCTGATGTAAATTTGATCATTAACTCATATATATATATATATATATATATATATATATATATATATATATAAGACAGGTTTCGATAAATAATTTTGATTTACTGTCTACTTATTTTCCATAGCTTCCTTTCATATTCACAGATAAGCTTTTTTCTGAGATTATTGAAGGAGGAGAAGAAAACGTCGTCTTCGTTCATATTGTATATTAATATCCGAGGACTTTCGACATAGCATAATCAGGTTATTATTAATTAGGCAAGTGTTGTGTGTTCATGGTTGTGAATATATATATATATATATATATATATATATATATATATATATATGTGTGTGTGTGTGTGTGTGTGTGTGTGTGTACTCTGTTTATACGTTATTTTTATAGAAAACGGAAATTATATTAAATAATTGTCGGTCTTAATCCATTTCATAATATATATATATATATATATATATATATATACATATAATAAATTTACTAATTTAAAAGTATTGGCCCATCTCTACAGAGGAATTACCATGTTTAAAAAACAGAAACTAAACGTTTAAATTTAATTATAGAATTAAATTAAGATTCCTAGTATTATTTTCATTTCTAAGCTATTTTGGAAATAACTCATTTACAATTCTACTTAGTATACGCACGCACACACACACACACACACACACACACACACATATATATATATATTTACTGACTATATATATATCTGAATGTCCGAGAAATTTTCACAAAAATATTCAGGTCGGTAAATGTTGTTTAAAAATGTTTATTACAAACAGAGCATTTACATAAATATTTGTATGTATAAAAAGAATGTATAAATGTAAAAATGTCTTAAAATAATTGTCGGACTTTGTCCATTTCATAATATATATATACATATAGATACACACACACACACACACACACACACACACACACACACACACACACACACATATATATATATATATATATATATATTTAAATACAAATATATACCTCCAATATATGGCTTAAAATGTAATACAAATGTACGCACAATCCACATAAATAAATATATATCCACATTTGCAGTTATATATATATATATATATATATATATATATATATATATATATATATATATATATTAATAAAACTCAGAATCGTGCTAGTGCAAATATATAGAAAAAATAGAAAAGAACACGTTCGGTAAATAATCCGGGAGTTCTTTAGTATTTTTGTTTTTATTTTAAAAAAGCAGTGCTCCATACAGAAGTAGAGCTTAAATTGTTTATAATTATTTTTATTTTTGAAAAAATAATTATAAATACAAATCATATTTTTTTGAAAAATAATTATAATACATATATATATATATATATATATATATATATATATATATATATATATATATATATATATATATATATGTGTGTGTGTGTTTGCGTGTAAGGATGTTGAAAAATGGATAAAGAAAGAGACGAGAGTGCGTCTCTAAAGAGACGTATGTGATTTCCAGCATTGCTTCAAGTGCATCATGGCGCCTCTCTCAGCCTGGAAATAATCTCCGCTTCCGGAAAGCTAGGAAGAAAATGGCCGCTAGGGGGCACCTGAATGGCAATGCTGAGTTAATGAATAGATAAACAAGTGAGGACTTTTGGTGGGTCGATTGCTGGTGGCGGGTGGGAGGTTGGGTATTTGTACGGGCGCTGTCTCCAAGTCTACTTCTGGCTCACGGCTTGGCGCATGTAAGCTGATCGCAGGACTGTAAAAAGAGATGAGACAAAGGAAAAGAAGAAAAAAAAAAACAGTGTAGGCATACACCCAACCATTCTCGGACAGGGTGATCCGATCTCTTGGGATGTGGGTCACTAAATGAAAAACGTCGGTGTTGGGTTTTGGGTGTCTGGTTATATTTCAGCTCTAACTTCTTTTCTCTTTCATTCACACACACACGCACACACAGACACAAAAACAAACACAGACACAAACACACGCATACATATGTGGATGTTTATATGTGTATATGTGTGTAAAACTCTTTATAGAAAAAGGAAGAGAAGGTCGAAGGGAGAGAGAATAGATGGAAAGGAGAAGTAACAGACGAAAGAAAGAAAAAAGAAAAGAAAGAAAGAAAGAAAGAAAGAAAAATGAATGTCAAAAAATGGTGTGTTAGGACGAGAATAGAAAGCGAAAAACAAAAAGAAAGAAATAAACAAATAAGGAACCGATGGGGAGGGCAAGAAAGAAAGACGTTAGAAAAAATTCAAAGCTGAATGAAAAGAAAAAAAAGAAAGAAACCATGGGAGAGAGAGAGAGAGAGAGAGAGAGAGAGAGACAGAAAGACGAGGAAAAGATAAAAAAGAAAGAAAAAAGAAAGAAAGGAAAGTCATGAAGGCAAAGAGAGGAGGAGAAATAGAAGTAAAAGAAAGAAAGAACATAGAGCATAGAAAGAAAGAAATAAAGAAAGAAAGAAAGAAAGAAAGAAAGAAACAAACAAACAAACAAACAAACAAAGTAACAAAGAAAGAAAGAAAGAAAGAAAGAAAGAAAGAAAGAGGGACACTAGGTAAGTTTATAATTTAGCGTTCCCGGCTTAATTATTTACATGCGGACTACTGTCCTCAATTTTTATCGTTTTTACCACAACGTTTCGACCACCGTTCCCCACCCCACCCCGTGGCCTTCCCCAGGTGCTTGCCGATCAGGATAACCTTTAGAGAATTTCGAACTGAACCCTTTATTTAATTTACAAAGATACATTGTTCTTGCCCTTCTTACACTGCCCGTGTCTAGGAATATCTCATCTGGCTTGGTTTGGTTTGGTTTGTTTTACAATATCAACCTCTATGGGTTATTTAATGCCGACAAGATTTTTATTGCTGGTAATGTTTTTTCTTCCAAAAATTTATTGCTGCTAATAATTTTTTTTCAAAAATGTATTGCTGGTAAAATCTTTTCCAAAAAAGTATTGCTTGTATTAAAACCTATTTTTATACTTTTGACACATTTGGGGTCAGATCAATTGTTTACCCATAGCTGGGTCCCAAACAGGTGCTACCACCCCGGGTCAGGGTGGACCTGGGAAAAGCAGCAATTAAGAGGTGGTTCCACACTCCTCAAAACCTTCTGAATAGATGCCTTGCTGTTGGACGTAGTTTATCGTCTTACCTAGGATGCGGATGTAGTTTATCGTCTTACCCGGGACGCGGATGTAGTTTATTGTTTTACCCAGGACGCTAACTCATCTGGTTCTTACATAGTACTGCTCAGTTACTGCGCGCCCATTTGAAAGTAATGGCGCAGAATATTAAATTAATCAAAGATTGTCAATAGTACAATGGTAAAAAAAAAAATCCTGTAGAACACTTTATTGACTTGTTTTTTACGTCTTATCAACCTTTTTAAGGTTATTTCAAGCCAAAACATATTTTTGTATTGTAAGAATTTTTTGGAGAAAATAATGATCTTCTGATACAAATTCCACAATTTAACCCATAGCTTGAGGAGAAGAGATGGAGCCATACCTTTCTCAAGCTTATGTGCAAGTGAATATAATGAACTCGATTGGAATTCGAACTCGACTCTCCGATTTCACATTCCAAGCCGTTATCTATTACACCAACAGCCCATCCAAACTAGCAGCACCAGGTATTCCTGAGCAGTCACCCATCTAAGTACTGACCAGACTCGACGTTGCTTAACTTGCAGAACACAGGCGCAGCAGTTATGTACAAAAAGTTAAAGAAATTGTAGGTCAGAAAACGAGCGTGAGAAATCTAAAAAAAATAACAATTGTGATACGGGATATAAATGAACGGCCTCAGTAGTACCTCTCCCAGGTACAGCTATTTCAATCACCGCCGATCAGGTCCCGGACAACCTCCAGCGCCGATCAAGTCTCGGACAACCTCCATCGCCGATCAGGTCTCGGACAAACGTCACCGCCGATCAGGTCTCGGACAACCGCCACCGCCGATCAGATCTCGGACAACCGCCACCGCCGATCAGGTCTCGGACAACCTCCACCGCCGATCAGATCTCGGACAACCGCCACCGCCGATCAGATCTCGGACAACTCCACCGCCGATCAGGTCTTGGGCAACCTCCACCGCCGATCAGGTCTTGGGCAACCTCCACCGCCGATCAGATCTCGGACAACCGCCACCACAGATCAGATCTCGGACAACCGCCACCACAGATCAGATCTCGGACAACCTCCACCGCCGATCAGATCTCGGACAACCTCCAGCGCCGATCAGGTCTCGGGCAACCTCCACCGCCGATCAGATCTCGGACAACCTCTACCGCCGATCAGAGCTCGGACAACCGTCACCGCCGATCAGATCTCAGACAACCTCCACCGCCGATCAGGTCTCGGACAACCTCCACCGCCGATCAGATCTCGGACAACCTCTACCGCCGATCAGAGCTCGGACAACCTCTACCGCCGATCAGAGCTCGGACAACCTCTACCGCCGATCAGATCTCGGACAACCTCTACCGCCGATCAGAGCTCGGACAACCTCTACCGCCGATCAGAGCTCGGACAACCTCCACCGCCGATCAGGTCTCGGACAACCTCTACCGCCGATCAGAGCTCGGACAACCTCTACCGCCGATCAGAGCTCGGACAACCGTCACCGCCGATCAGATCTCAGACAACCTCCACCGCCGATCAGGTCTCGGACAACCGTCACCGCCGATCAGGTCTCGGACAACCGCCACCGCCGATCAGATCTCGGACAACCGCCAATCACTAAGAAAGTATGTCCCCGCGTGGCTTCGTTCCTTCAGAGGAGATTGGGCCTCAAACTCATACCCTGCCTCGTGGAACACCTATATAAGATCCATCGCTAATGGTGCAGGTAAAATGATCGGCTCCCTGTACCTCTCCACTAAGTACCTGACTCCTCATAGTATCCTCTACCTTTAAGAGCCAGATCAGTCCGAAAATGGATTACTGTTGCTATATTTGGGCGGGAGCTGCCCATATCTCACTTTCCAGTTTTCATAGAGTTCCAAAGCGTCCCCGAGTCCTTGTAAAAGAATTATTCTCCACCCTCCAATTTCTCTCTCTCTCTCTCTCTCTCTCTCTCTCAGGCGGGATGTGACGAGTCTGCACAACTCTATCGCTTCTACTGCATTTCTTGGTTACACCAGGTCTGACCTGCACGGCTAGGACCCTCCATGCTACTTAAATAGGAGCAAACCACCCATATTCGCCCCGCTTCTTCCTGCGAACCTCGGATCTGTGGAACCGACTCCTAAGAGGATGTTTCCCCGATCGCTACAATCTTAACTTGTTCAAGTCTATATACAGTAAACCGTTATCTACCCTCCTATTCATATAAACTACACCATAACGTAACCCTCTACCTCGAGTGGCTCCCGAGCCTTGTACAGGGCGAATCTACCTGTAAAAAAAAATTTTTTTAAAGAATTAATGTCTATGGAGGTGTCGGAAGAAAGAAAATGGAATGTTTTATTTTATGCAAAGAAAGCGCGCTGAAAATGTTTAGAATTATTTTATATGCTTTCTCTTACTTTCGCAAAAATCAATGTTAACAAATACTTAAAAGTCTGTCATTTTTAATGACTGTGCTTTTTCCATGTGGTAGAGAAGCATCCTCTCTTGTCTGTACCGACTGGCGCATTACTCAGTGACCGTTATATGTCACATGACCAACCAAGCGCAATGTAGACTAATTAGGGAAGAGGAAAGCAAGTTAACACAGTACAAACTTTTAATGGAAAAAGGAAACCTAATAGAGAAAAGAAACAAACACGTCGGAGAGTTCTCAACTGTCAAGAGATGGTTTCAATGCATGAAAAACGGAAAGACCGATAGTTTTACAATAAAGACGTTAGGATAATTCGACATAATGGAGGAGAACAAAGTAGTCGGACCAGATGGTATTGTTGCGTTTCCTGTTGTGTCTGGATTCTGGTTGTCTGTTGGAAATTCTTCAATAGAAACACCAACGCTACCTCAGGCTAAACCAACGATAGTCATTCTTCTTCCGATTTTTTCTTTTATTCAACAGACATGTGTTCTTGAAGGAAGCGAGAGGTTGGAGATAATAGGAACATATGTCAATAGGGCAGCCGGCTACCCATCCTCACCCTGCTGAAACCAGTCAGTCACTTAGGCGTCATACGTGATACACGCGTTGGCGATCATGTATCTTTTGATACATGACTGACGAGGCGGATTTTTTCCCGTGGCAGGTTGCCATTTTTTTTCTGCGGTAGACTATTTTCCATCCAAGGATAAAGAACCCGGCCTGTCCTGCTATTTACCCATAGCTTAGAAGAAGAGGATTCATAAATTTCCCAAGGGTATTAGCATGTAAGTGAATGTAATGGATTCGATTGGAATTCGAACTCGGCTCTCCGATTTTTCAGTCCAAGCCGCTGTCCAATTACACCAACGTTACGCCAGAGTGAACAGTGAAATCTGCGATCCGGGTTCAAGTTTAGACCTACTTCCCTTACGCACTTATGCTCTTGGGGGAAAGGCATGAACCCATCTATTTCCCTCCCAACAGCTATGAGTTTTAACTCAGGGCTGTTGGAAGGGAAATATAGCAGGATAAGCATTGGACATCTCGCTTTTAAAGGTGACATCCAGTTTTAGAAAGACATATTTGAATGTAATTCCCAAACTGGAAACCACTCCACTATCTTTCCTAAGAAGTTCTCGTAATTCACAGATAACAAAAAAGGAAGTTGTGGAGAACCGTTATAGAATATGTTCTGAAGAGATACTATATTTAAAAATAAATAAAAATATATAACGTTGTTCTCACATTATTATTGGGACAGTTTTGAAAGCGCTTTTTTAAAGAGGTGGTCACTTTAGTTATGTGCCATGAGTGATACACGCTTAGACGATCATGTACCTTTCAATACATGACTGACGAGGCAGATTTTTTCTTCCCGCAGTAGGTTGCCATTACTTTCTGCTATAGACTAGTTGCCATCTAAGGCTATAGAACTCGGTCTGCCTTGCTATTTACCCATAGCTGAGGTGGGGAGAAGAGGAAGATTCATACCTTTCCCAAGGGTATTAGCAAATAAGTGAATGTAATGGATTCGATTAGAATTCGAACTCGGCTCTCCGATTCCTCAATCCGAGCAGCTGAAACTACGGCACGCAAAAAGAAAGCTCGGACGAGCCTCCAAGCTTCTGACTGATTATTGTCTCAACTTTACTGTCTATTTTTTGCGCTCTTTTGTCTTACATTAGCGTTTTGCAAACTTTCTTTTTACTACGACCCACGGCAAGATCTACATTTTGCCTTGACACCCATTATACCTTTATAGAATAAATCAAAGGCAAACTCTGTCCACTAGGTTCGTTTATTTACCATCGACAATTTATATATGTATATTTCTTATGATCCACACATATTGGAATTTCATGTATTTATTTGTATTATCTGTTTGTATGAATATAAAATTATAACTTAAAAAAAAAATAGCCCCTTCTTAAATTTCGCTGGAACAACAGCCAACTCACCGAAAATTTCGAGACTTCAAATGGACACGACACATTATCTTTCTGCCACAGAAAGAATCTAGCAGTACTGGACTTCAACATTGAGTCGGGAAATTCACTTTTAGCCTTGACTTCAGATGCAACTGAATTATTCAATAATCTTAATGGCTTTCAATGGCCACGAAGTCGAAAGCATTTCACACCTTAGTAGCTAAGTTTTGGCGCGAGATCATTTTGTGAGAAAGAACTGACGTCACTCCGACCATAACAAGTTTGACGAACAAGATACATAAACTCAATGAGAACAGACTATATATATATGTGTGTGTGTATATGTGTGTGTGTGTGTGCAAATATATAGAAAAATAGGAAAGGACCGTTAGATTGATGATCCGAAGTTCTTTAGTATTTTTGTTTTTATGTTTAAAAAACAGTGCTCGATAAACAAGTAGAGCTTAGATTATAATTAATTTTTTTTTAAATATGATTCATCGCTACACAGGAATTACCATGTTTCAAAACCAGAACTGAAGTGCAAGTTTTTATCTTCTGTTTTTGAAGCATGGCAATTCCTGTGTAGCGATGGAAACATTTTTTAAAATAATTATATATATATATATATATATATATATATATATATATATAAAGAGATAAAAGGTAGTTTTATCCATCCGAGAGCAGATACTACACTTTGATCCCAGTCAAAAGTTCGAGAAGCGATGTCGATTGCAAGACAACGAGTATCTAAAGACGTAAAACGATTAAGGAAATCGCCAAAAATCCGGTTACTATAAATAAAATAATATCGTCTGTTGAATTATTTTTAATTATTATTAAGAGAAATATTCTTAAGCCGGGGATTTGGCGAGAACAAACGAACGAAAGAAAGAACGAAAGAAAGAACGAAAGAAAGAAGTGTTTATCGTCTCTTGCCAATACCTCATAAATAATCTAATATTCCGTTTTGAATTCGTAGAAAAACTAAAGATTTCTCTATTTGGTTTCAGTGAGAAAATGAATAAAAAAAAGAAAGAAGGGAAGATAGCAATGTCAATTTCAAATCTTTTCATTTGTACCCCCTTACTTCTTTAAATAACGACCAGCATTCATATTTATGATCGTTATTGCAATATTTTTTGTTAAATATTAAGTTATTAAACTCAAATAGTAAACAATGTGATACAGGGTATTTCTACGGATATTTTATTGTCATAGAACTCGCAATGGTCTTATTCAATCATTAACTTCATCAGGAATGACAAATACGAAAACCGTGAAATTTTCACGGGTTAAAACTAGTTATTATTATGACTTCAATATGGCTATTAAAGTCAGTTTCTCGTCTTATAACTTATATAATTTAAACGAACAGTTTCTTTCAGAAACCGACTCCCAAGATGATGCTTCCCCAATCACTGCAATTTAAACCTGTTCATGTCTGGGATCAACTGTTATATTTAGTACCCCCCTACAAGGGTACATGTGGCATAAGGCCGAGTTTAACGAGGGTCATCCGAGCCCTTAGGCTTGTCCAAAAAATCCCCGTACAACCCGCATAAATGGGTTAGGGTCTGTCTACCTCCCCGGACGAAACTCTACCCTTCGGCACAGCCTCGTCTGGGTTAACTCTCTGCCTTTGGGCAGAGAGTTCGACAGGAGCTGCGAACAGTCACAGCTTAGGTAGAACAGTCTATATCATCATTCTCTCGGGTCAACTGTTATCTTCTCCTCATATGCCCATAAACTGTACCTCTTACTCTTTAACACTCTACCTCAGGAGGCTCTTGGGCCTTGTGGAGGGTGAACATAATAGCATTGGTGGCTAAAGGTTTTATACGAGCGAAAAGAGAAATTTGTTCCGTGTCCTTAGTTCTTGTAATGCCAGTTTTGGGTATTATGAAATTTTCCTCTAAGAGTTCATTACATTTCCAGATGATTATATTCGTTCCTAAGAGGCATCCTTTCTGTAATAATTGACCAATAAAAGACATTTTCCTTCATATATGACTCCAGTTTCTTCTTCGTATTGAGAAATCCCAGAAAATCTTGAATATTTCTGACGCGAGGACTTTCTCGGTCTTAAGGTCGTACCATTCCATTTCTCGTTGAAATTTCCGACTTCTCACATACACCCTTGTGCAAATTAATTATACAGGAAGATGCGGAGAAACATGATCACCTACACCCCTGTGCAAATTAATTTAAAAAAAAATAATTCCATTATTATTTAATCTTTTTTCGTATTTTTTCAATGAAACATGACCCAGTTCACATTTTAGTACTTCGTATGTCCATTCCACGAAGTCTTTCCTTGCAGATTGACCACAGATTCTCGATTGGATTTAAATCAGGAGATTTTCCGAGCCAGTCGATAGTACTTTGGTTTTCTCATTGGTAAGGTTTGCCAGTATGTTCGTGCAGCGTTACAATTTTCGTACGCTTCCTTGGAGTAACGTTCATCGCAGACAAAGCCGTAGGACAACTAATCGATAGTTGAGACAATGGTGTCCTGGCGTGATAAAAATCTGATGCAATCACGGATGACGCAATATGTTTTAAGGCCAAATAAATTGCATCGTACACCCCGAAAATAAATTCCTATTACTGCACACCACTGCAAATGACCTAATCTGAGGAAAGAATAAAAATCGATTACAGCCTGTCACTTCAGTGGGTCTAAAATTAACCGTATGGTGAAAGAAAGGAAACTGAAGCGGTTGTTTCAATTAATTTGCACAAGGGTGTAACTTTAATTTTGGTTAAATTATCATGTCATACCATTTATACATATTCGGCGCTAAACTTGAGAACTCAATCTCATTGGGTTCTATAGTTTATTTTTGGTATATTTTTTCATCATTTCTCATCAAGTAAGGTAATAAAGTAAATAAGACGTAAGAAGTTAGTCAGTGTGAGAGAATATGAGAAAAAGAAAACATTATTAAGGAGAGAGAACAATAAAAGAAACAGGAATTAAGAAGATCAAGGCTCACGATTGGCACTGTAATTAAAATTTTGACTGGAAATCCGAAAAAGAGTTCTACGTGAGAGAAGTGCGAGAGAAGGAACTGTTAACATAGAACTTACGGTTACATCTAGCCATTTCAACTGTAAGATGAGACCTTGCCACCAATCTTGTCCTGCGCTTAAATTCATAAAGTGTCGGGTACCATAGACAAATGTTCAATAGAAAATATACCAGGCAAATATTTATAGAAAAAAGCACAGGGCAGTTACGTTACGACGGTGGAAAAATGACTGAAGCCGAGATGCCAGGTCAGGGCTGTTATTTTATTATGTTTCATTTCTTCCATTCAAATATATTTTTTACTTTTATACTTTTCACGAAATTTTTCCTGAAAATTCAGAACATATTATAAACAGTGGTGCATTATACAGAAATATATATATTACTAAGTTTATAAAAAATAAAAATTTACTGAATCAAAGAAATGAAATAACTATTTTTTGCTGTCATTGTCAAAAATTTTCCTTAAATAATATTTAAAAATAAAATTTAAAAAATGGGAGCTGGTAATATACATACTTATATTTGATATGAAAAAATAATTTTAAATAATGTAAGTAATTCTATTACATTTACTTGTTTTTTAAAAGAAATATAATCTATTAGTAATTAAGAGTAAAAATATTTTAAAATTGTAGTTTAATAAAACGTATTTTAACACAAACGCATATAAAAAAAGTTTTGAGTATACAAGGAAAAAAATGCCGAAAACCTTTTTGCCGTTAATAAAAAAAAACCCAGACGATATGCATTTAACGAATTCGTTGAAAAATAAACCCTTACCGTCCCTAAACTTAACCTCTTTTTCGAACGTAACTCATAATTGATACAACAATAGTTAATAAAAATGAACACTTTACCGCCCCTGTCTAAATGATTGAATTTCTCTGTATCCTTGGAAACAGTAAATTATGAATTTATATGTGCATTTAAAACTCAGTAAATTTTAAAATAAGTTATTCCAATATTCGCTTGAAGATGAAAACAAACTAATGCTTTTAATTTAATTATATAATTAAATTTGAAGTTTTTATCTTCAATTTTGAAACATGGTTATTAGTGTGTAGCGAAAAAAAATCATATTTTAAATCAGTTAATTTATATTTATGCTCTGTAAATTTAAATTTACATTGAACACTGTTTTGTAAAAATAAAAAAAAAAAATAACAAGAACACCGGATTATATATCTTATTGTTCATTCTTTATACATATATATATATATATATATATATATATATATATAGACTGTTTCGCTGTATCACAGTTCTTCAGTGTGTATATATATATATATATATATATATATATATATATATATATATATATAAAGGAAAACAGACCACTTTAAGGTTCCATTATAATAATTTATTTCAGCAGAGCCCTTTTAAAGGACTCTGGATAATCAGATAGCACTTCCAAAAGATGAAACGAAACGAAATGAAATGAAATGAAAATTCATACTTTTGATGGGTAGTGTAAGTTTTTGTAATTTAACAGAGGGGGTAATGAGGGGTGGTTTGAGAGAGATGGTCGAGTTTAGAGAGGGTTTATTTAATATTTCTCTCAATCATACTTAGTATTGGAGGAGGACTTACCAGACCTTGACCTATTTAATCGGTTAACTTAACGGAAGTGATATATTGAAAAGGGAGGTGAGAAGAGAGAAAAAGAAAAAGAAAAAAGAAAGAAGAGGGAAGTAAAGAGAAAGAGGCTGTAATTAGGTTTCACGCAGGAAGGAGAGGGGTGGTATAGTTTTAGCAATTTATGTAAAAAATAGAT